AAAAAGCTTTGATTTAAAATGTCAAGGAGACAATTGTCAAGGAGAAATGCTAAAATTGATAGGTATTCAGGAAGCTTTGTATATAGATGTCCATAAATTACAGGCCCACTTTCCAGAATGATTTAAATGAATTTTATTATTTATAAAACAATTTATTAGTTAAACAAATCATACTGACTTAGTTTACTTAATTGGTAACTTATTTCAAAAAGTATTTGAGACTAATATTGAATACACTTATACATTATCGCTTCAATAGCCACAATATATGCAACTTTTGTTTGATGTGTTTGTGTAAAAATATCTGATTGTCCCATTTGTCTTAATTATTTTTGTTCTAATTTAAAATGTTTTGATATTTGATTTAATTTTGGAACTAATTTTGACCTATCTTTAGCATACTCAAATTATAAATCAAATCAAATCTCTAAAATGTTTTCTCTACTATATGTAGTTTCACATATAAAAATATTATAGAGCTTCCTAGATAAATTTACAGTCTAAGCCAGCACTTTAAGCACTTTAAGCCAGCACTTTCCAAACTGCCTTTTTGAGAGTACTTCAGAAAGTTATAAGTATATGGGGGAGAAGGAGTGCAAAATGGACAAAAGATTACTTATTGCAGAATTTTTAGGCTTTTTAAATGCAAATTTTATAGTGTACATCTGAAATAGAGGAGACTGAGCAAAAACCTACCTCTCTAACACTTTGTTTTCCTTGTTACTTGTAATTTAAAAAAAAATATTGTGATAGCTAATACTTTCACTTATATCCTTTTATAGAGCTTAACATAGGTCATCAGAGTTGAAAGTTTAGAAATTACATACTTCATTCCCAAACAGTGAGTGAACAGCTCTTCATGCAGTGACTCCTCTAATTTGCTATTCATTGTAAGTGGCTAGAAGTAAAAGTACTGTTTTGACTGAAATCAAAGTGATGTTACAGGGACTATTATTTCTGGGTTCTTTTCCTTATAAAAATGATTGGCAAAGAAAAATCAACACTTGTTGGTGAAGAATCCCCCATGATAAGGATTTGTCTTTATCAAAAAGATATTTTCCTCTCCACTGGTATTATTTGTGGAGCACTTTCTCTGTGAGAATAGGTTTAAATGAACACGTAGAAAAAGGTTTTAGAGAAAGGCATGTCTGGTTATTGTTTTCCCAGGGATTATCCTCTTATGAGAATTTAAAGTTATAAATTAAACATAGATTTACTTAAATTTGTTGACTATAGAGCAGCTAAGGTGCTATCTTGAGCTTTTGTTGGTTGAGGCTTTACACAGAATATTTTTCATTTAGTGACCATGTGTAGATGATGATTAAGATTGGAATTTATCTAACAAGATATTTAAATTATTTTATCACTATTTGTATTTTCCTTATAGTAAATACAGATGCATAGCTCTCTTAGAACACCCACCCCCCAGTGATCTGTGAAATATAAATGATGTTACGTGATTCTACAGAAAATTTAGATCCTTACTAAGGAGAAAAGATCTGCAATATGAAATTAATGAAGCGCTATGCTTTTTAACATAGGGGTCAACTAACTATGGGTTAGACACCAAACCTGGCCAACTGTCTGCTTGGTAAATGCCATTTTATTGGGATACAACCACACAGACCTGTGCATATATGGTCTGCAGCTGCCTTCATGTTACAATGGTACAGTCGCCTTAGAGACCAAATGATGCACAAAACCTAACATTTATTTAAGCTCTCGATGGGGAAGTTTGCCAGTTTTTGCCAGTATGTCATATTATTACCTAGTAATCAGAAAGTATTTCATGCCATTTCCATACCAGAAAATAGTACCCAGAAAATAGCCTAGTAGAAGTGCACGTATGTATGTGTGAATGTTTGTGTATCTATATGTATGTATAGACATTTGTGTACATGTACATATATAATATTTAAACAAGTTCTTTTCCTGGTGCTATTCCTATTTAAACTACTAATTGCTACTGTGCTATCAAAAAGAAACTTTCTAAATATTCTATTTAGCTAAATATTCCTTCAGTACACATAGTTTTTGATGCCGGGTGATTTTTATTGTTGTTCCCTTGCCCTCGGAGACAGTAAGCATTTTCCTGAGAACATCTTTTGAAGCACAGGCAATTTCACTATTCTATTTTAATAAGTCTGTACTTCACTATATTTCACATTCATATAATAGAGGCACTCACTGGATTTCAGTTGAATTTTAGATTACACTTTTATTAATATGATATTTATATTCCCTATTCTATAATTTGGCACAGAATCAATCACACTATTATTAAAACATGACTCTCAAAAGGAACAAATTGCCTTACTTCCTTGAATAGTTTATTTAAAAGTGCTGTTTTACCTAAAGTTATATAATGTATGTTTTGATTAATATTCTTTTATTCAAGATTTTCTTACTTCCTTTTGAAACTGTTTTCCCCATTTTATCTTAATTAACTTTCACTGAAACTTAGAATGATTTAATGCATATTTAGATTTTTTTCAGGGTGAGTATTAATATACTATCATTGAATAGACATATTTCTGTCTAGACAGCTTTACTGCAGTTTTAAAGTTGTGATCTTAAACAAGGAGTACATTGTGTGTGTTTACATTCCTGTCTGCCATCATTGCTTGTGAATTTACGTACAAAACTTTATTATACATACCCACTTATGCCTACTAAGCTGTGATTATTTTTCCCAGTTTATAGATTCATAGGCTATAATTGAAATTTTGTTTTTCCATAACGTATATACATGAGAAATGGAATTTCATGTAGTCTCCTTAATAAAAATCATAAATGTATTTTAAACCACTTTTCATGTGTGCTAAGCTTTGGTAAATATAGTTCTTGTTACCAAAGTTTTAAAAACTTTTTGATATCTGTAATTGATGTACCTTGAGGTAAGCACTGATTAAGCGATTAATCTCACTTTGTAATAGGCTGCCTACCTCACTCTTTTGCATTCCTTTTTTTTTCTTCTGAAATGGCTTCCAGTAATATTTTGTGCCTTTATTGGCATGGTTTTTCTCAACAGTATTATTCTCCATGCCTCTTTCTTGATCCTTATTCTAGAACATTCAAGCTCAAAAATTCTTGATTACTGGATTCACGTATTGGGGGCAACCTGCTTTTAATAGATGGATTGATTTTATGATATTAGTTTCTAAATGTAATTGTGAAATATTATTTGAATCATTTTGACTGACAGTTTTTTCCAGTAAATAAGCCAAAGCTTGGTTAATTAAAAACCAATTTTTGTTATTGCTATTGTTAGATTTATGTGTTCTCAAATATATTCTCCTGAACATATGTGTTCCAGAAAGTGTTTTTTACCTGGTGAAGATTTGTTGTCTTCTGTTTAAATTTGTTTACATTTTATTCTGATTTAAATTATTTTATGTATTTAATAATCATGCTTTTTATTCACTAAATTGCATAGTTTAAATAAACTAAAAAATAATGACATTTATTTTGTACATATGGCCTTGAGTGAAAGTAGTATATCAGTCTAGCATTTCTTCTTTTTTTTTTACATCCTGTAAGTAGGGCTCAGAAATAAGAACTGAACATTAATTTTATGGGTTTTTTTCTACTCGATAGGTGCTATGGATATAGAGGAGAGAAATCGCCAAATGAAAATTAACAAATACAAACAGGTAGCCGGATCAGATCCCAGACTGGAACAAGATTACCATTCAAAGGCAAGACATTTTTCTTTTTAAAAGTTGTAAAATAATTAATCATACGAAACCATTAGATTCTCTTAAATTGCTGAAGGACAGGTTAGACACAAACATATAATTCAGTGACCCCATTTTATTATCAAGTGTTAAAAATTTATGTGTGTATAGACAAGTTGTTAGGGATAGACTTTGCCTCATTTTAAAAAAAAAAACTTAATGTAGGGAATTAAAGATATGAACATGACAAATTATCTGAAGAACAAATATTCTCAGATTTTTCATTTTCTAAAACCTGTGAAGGTCTATCAACCACCCTCAAAAAATGTTTAGGAAGAACTTCTATTTCTTGATGGCTTTCCTACATGTTGATTTTTTTCCATTTTAGTTGAATATTATTTATTAGTGAGTCCTTGGGGGAAAATACAAGCTCATGAGGCATCATAAGGAGTTAAAAAAAAATTTTAATGAACATCCTTTGACTTAAATTTTGGAAATAAGTTGTGGTATGAGGTTTACCAAAACAGGAAGTAAAGAGTATTATTTTATTGTTTTTACCTTTCATCACTTTTACATTTTCAGTGTTTTTAGGTTTATGTTATTACTCATGGCCAAAGTCATGAAAAGACTTTTCCCTAAGTACCCATTTAAAATTTAATTAAAATGATGAAAATAGCAAAACTTATTCATCATGTTTAGTTGTTATATATTTGCTCTGTGCTTTAGTAGTGTAATCATTACAATTATGTAATATTTGTGATCTGTGTATTTGTGTATAACAGAAAAAGTTTGGATTTTCAGATATGTAGGTCTGTATTACCTGAACTACCTTATAAATTCTTTGATAAAGTCGAGACATACTGAGTATAGTTGTCTGTGTCACATATGCGTATGTGGTCAGTAGCACAGGTGTGTCATTCCCCCGCTGCGCAGCCTAGAGGAAGCAGGGATTCTTTTATCAGCACCATCTTCTAAACAAACCATCCATCTCTCCCCCAAATTACATGAGTAGGCCAGAGTGAGTATAGAATTATTTATCACAGATTCCTGATGTTATGGAAATGGCACAGGCCTAAAGCCAGAGAAAATAAATTTAAGACAAACAGAAATAAACTTGCCTTTATTCAGCAGGTTATAAACTTCTAGGAACTTTTCTCTATAATTGAAGTGATAAATCAAAATGGTTCAGTAACTTTCACAGAAAGTTATTCTTTGATGACCTAATGTTTCAGGTATTGGTAACCTTTTGAGCTTGCTACCAGAAGTGATACCTGTGTCTTGCCTGCTACTATTTGGTATTTCTGCCTCAGGCTAAACAGAAAAACTGAATTTCTTGGTATCTGTTCTGCTATTATCTCTCATTGACTCATTTTATATCATCTAAACACCAAGATATAAAGTCCTAATAAATTAGGATATCAATTCTGTCAGTACATATTCAGATACACAACTGTGCATGATTTTTTAAAGTGCATGTAATATTCTATATAATATTTTCAGTGAAGAAATGAGGATCACAGAGAAAGACAAAACAAGGTTTAATTTTTATCCAATAAAAAACAACTCCTCAGAAACATTACCAATGACTCTTCTTATGGAAATCTAACAGAAATTGATTACAGGAGGGTGAACCAAAGAAATACTATAGGCATGACTCAGTATTCCTCACCTCCCCCCACCCAGGAAAACAAGTTTTGATTTCATTCCAGTTCATAAATGAATGAATACCTGTAGCTCCAAAGTATTATAACTTTGACTCTAATTATTTTGTATTAGAAAAAAATCTACATCTTGGCAACACACTAGTTACACTACTAAGCAATATAATTTTCTAAGTACTCCTAAGGTGTGGTTTTGAAAGTGTGTTTGTTCTCAGACTACTAGCATCAACATTATCTGAAGACTCTCACAAGTGTAATTCTCTGACCCCCCCTCCAGCTCCATTTCATCTAAACTATGGGGGTGGGGTCTGTGTGTTATAATAAACATACCAGATGATTCTGATGCATAATGAAGTTTGAGAACTATTGCTCTAAAATTTACTTACTTGTAAAATATACTTATATGTACCTAAAAGAGTTGATTTCCTTTGTTAGTGCTTTAGGTAGAAGCCAGTGATGAATGAGGTTGAAAATGGATACTTTATTTTGATTGTAGGTAACTGGAGACCTTTACAAGACCCTTTATCATCAACAAATCTTTTCACTTGAATGCCAGATAATTATCCATTTGTTTTCTATTGCTGGAAATAGCATTCAGCTTATAACTAAGTCATTAAGATATGATATGTGATAAGGATCCAAAAAGTAACTCTAGTTTGTTGCACTGCAAGTCATTTTCTGATGTCAAACATTTTACTTGTTCATCTGTTTCCTCATTACCCTAGTTTGATCTTCCTCTTTTGTGGATAAGAGAGAAATATATAGAGGATACTTTGTCAGTTAAAGGCTCATATAGATTTAGATATTTCTATACTAATGGTAGATTCAATATTTTGACAGAATCTCCTCTTCTTAAATGGAATATTTAGCTAAATTTTTATTCTTATATTGAGAACAAGTATCAATTATAAGGTTTGCTACTGTATTTCCATACCTTAGGTCTAACACTTGGGGAAAAAATCATATAACAGATGAAGAAACAAAATATAGAAAGGTTAAGTGACCTACTTTATGTTTACATGGCCACTGGTTATGGAAAGTAGTATTCGTTGCTAATCTGGTTTTTCAAATTGAAATAATTTATATTTTGTTTAAAGCTTCAGACCTATAGAATATATGCTGGACTTCGAGCTGTCCACTTGAAATCCTGTGAAGATACTGAGTCACTAAATGGTCTCTAATTAAATGTACATGAAGGTTTTTCCTAACTACACATTTTAGTTAGGCATTGCCTTCCTAAATTCCAGTTGTCTGCAACACTGATAGGTATAAACAATTCTTACTAATTTGGGCTTTTTTTTTTTTTTTAAAATGTACTTTGAAATATTCTCTTACTAATTTAAAAAAATCTCAGTAACTTGTTTAGAAAGCCTCTGTAAAACAGTGCCTATTAACTTACTTTCTGTGAATATTTTAAGTATACTAGGAAACAGAAAAACAGTATTTAATAAGAGCAGCAAAAAGGATGTGGAGACATGCTTTCTATTTAACAAGTAAATGTCTTCTCAGTAGTTTTTCCCTCAAAACAGAACTTAGTTGTGTAGCCTATGTTCCCTTTAATGCCTTTTGCATTTCTAGGATCTGTCCCCGTCACATGTGATTCTTTTGTTTACTCTTAGCAGAAATTTATGGATCCACTTTTGTCCTTTCTATTAAACCAACATTCTGCTCTTTATTCATTCAGAAAGCTATGACTACCCATTAACTTTAACATTGCACATTGTTGTACAACACTGGACAGTTAACCTTGTGTGGGTTTTACAGTGAGTAATGAATGTAATTAGCATTAATTGAAAATTAAACAGTGCATGTATCTGAAAATTAATGTAAAGAATTTGGCAACATTTATTTAATTATATGGAATTTATTTTATAAATTGGCCATTTTAATATTTTTAAGTGATCCCAGAAGATATTTTTAAAAGGGTAGTTCTTAACAGTTCAACAGAGAATACAGTGTAGTTTTTGGTACAATATTTATTTGGCATGCAGAGTTTTTTGTTATGGAAACAATGTTCTTTTTAAAATAATGATGATTTTACACGAAATCATCGCAAAATATTTTATCCCTACTCTAGCATTTATGTCATACTGTAATTTTTTGTTTTCTTGTTTCTCTCACAAGGGCAGTATGTTAGAATTAACTAAGATGACTTCTAAATTGCCTACAACTTCTCAGAAGTAGGCCAGAAGTTCATACTAGTCTATGTAACTATCATCCAATAGATGGAGAGAATGTTCTGGGTACAGACAACGAGGTAGATAAAAAAGATTCTTCTCCATTCATTGTGCATGCCTGATCTTAGGCACTTGGAACTTTTCTCCCAGACTTCTGTCCTTTACCATGTATAATTTCAGAAACATTTAGGAGTAAAGAAACCCAACTAAAGTACTTATATTATAATTTGAATAACAACACAAATACAATTCTATTTTGTTAAAGATTCTGTTAATATAAGTAAAACTCACATTAGTAGAATTACAGGCAGTATCAAAATAAAACATTTCAAACCATTAAAGACAAAGAATTTTTGGCAAGTAGATTCACTGTTAACTAGCTGTTCCATTTGTATTAGCGCTTACTCTCTTTTCAACACTGAGCACACACACTGATTGCCAGTCTTGTTTTGAATTGATGTTCAGAACAGCAGTATGGACACAGAAGAGGGGAGACAGACAGGAACTGCTTACAAGAATAGTGTTTGCAAGTCAGAGTATTTGGAGACTCCAGTATCATCAGGAGCCATAGCAGCAGGAGCACAGTGCAGTACTGAGAACCTGGCCTGGAGTCAAGCAAACTCACTGGGTGGTCTCAGTTTCTTTATCTGTTAAATAAGGCTTTGATAGTGAATTCCTAGGACAGTGATTAGGATGAGATAATATATATAAATGGTTCAGTACTTGGTAAAGGGTTCAATCAATGGTATAGATATTATATATAATAACTGCAGCAAATAGAATTGCAGGTACCAGAAATGAATATAAAAAGGTTCAAAGAAATGATAAAGAAATAATTGAGCTAATGAAAAGGATTTTACTTGTAGCTCATATATCTTTCAGTGTTCCTCTTATCCTTAAAGAGACTACAGCGGCAGACATCTAAAATAACAAATGAAATTTAAGGGGGGAAATTTGTGAACCTTAAAGTGATATGGAGATTAAAAAATATAAAATGATACCAGAATATAAATGTGATGAGAAATTACAAACTAAATTACTAAAGCCAAGAAGTGATGTTATAAAGGTTGATGTTAAATGAGCCTGGTCCTTGGGAAATGATTAGCACAGTGATGACATAAACTGGACCTGGAAACTGAAAGACTAAGTTTATAAAAAACTACTTTAAAATGTAGTGGAGGTA